TGGTGTGTGTGTGTGTGTGTGTGTGTGTGTGCGTCTGTGCTTCTGTGTGTGCGTCTGTTCCTGTGTCTGTGTGTCTGTATGTGCGTGCGTATACACGGGGTACAAGTTTACTTTTATTGTGTTCGTAATTGGTCGAATTTTTTGGGTTAGCCCATTGGTGTAGCCATTTGAAGAGTAGTGAATTTGTTCAGACAAGCATGAATATACGAAGAAGCATACGTATACCTGTGTATTTATATATAACTATATTTGTATAAATATACATCGATATACATAAGACTCTTAAAGCTGTTCGATGAGTTGTATAAAACTATATTTATACAGATATACATAAATATACATAGGGCTCTTGAGGCTTATTTTCTAGGTCGTTGACCGAGCGTCCTATCGGACGTGTCACCTGTCACCATTCGCCCGTCTAGCCGACAATTGTTCTGTTGAATTCAATTCTCATTTAGAAAATGAACTATATTGTTGTTTGTTCGCTTTTGCGTCGCTGTGTCTTGCATTTTCTATATATATATAAACAGATTAGTAGACGTCGAAATAGAAGTCTCATTTGAGCCTATGGTACTGAATTGTTCTGATCGGGCTTTACGCAGACGGTATTCTGCAGCTGATTCGTGAGTCCTATTCATAAACCCCAAACCCTAAATTCAAACTACTGATATCGATGCTCGCTACTAAGCAGATCCGTTCTGTATGCAGGTATTATAGTCCGCCTAATTTGTCAATATGTTTTTTTTCTTCATATGAATTCATACTACAGATATCGATGTTCGTACATGCCACTGTTACGGTTCGCCTGCTGTGTTCTTTTCTCAGAATATGCCACTTCGGATTCCGTAAGTTGTTGTATCGGTGTAGAATGCCTACAAATACTTCTGTCATTCATCTTTCATCGCTATACTGATGGTGATAGTTAAGAATGAGAATGCCAATGTTCGTAAAGATATCTATACAGAGAGCACCTCTTATACAAGCCCTGGTAGTATTGTGTCCTGGTGCTGCCAGCTCAGCGGCATGTTGATGTTATCACTTCATGTGAATGATGTGGTGTTTTACTACACGCGTAAGACGGCTTAAATTCGTCGACACAACTACACGGAAGTTATTATTCGCAGGCAAACGTACTTATAGTTACAGGTGTGTATGTGTGTTTCCTATAATTGCAACACAGCTATGTATTGAACGAGAAAGGTAAGTAGATTGCGGCACGTGTGCATGTCCCCTATGTACACGCGCGTGTGTGTATATATCAGGGTACACCATCGCGCACTGATCAATGTAAAGACACATCAATGATACTCGCAAAAGGCTTCGATTCTGTCACATCTGCCTCGAAAGTTCTGTAATCTCAACTTCAAAACGTTAACATAGTACAAGCGAACACGGTCAGCGTAAGTTTTGCACATGTCTGATACCCGCGAATCTAAGCACACCGTTGTCATTCATTTTTATCGTTTTTATATGTATATGTATACATGGAGCCTGCTTTGCGCATATTAGAGCGTAAAAGCGCGTAATTTAGTAAGTTATCCATCTCTTTCAGCTCATACAATGCACATGTCGATTTAACGTACGTGGATTTCAATTTCCCATATGATTGTATACCTATGTACAAGTATACCGTAACGAGCATTTATATTACCACTGGCGTGTTGACTGAGAGTTATTCTTTGCTGTGCCTATATATCCAGGGGATGAATTGAATCAGAATTTGTATGATCCGCACAGAAACTTGAAGTACGCCTGGTGGAGCAGTTTATTGGCGGGCAATTTCTTGCCATACTATATCTTTGCATTACACAGGTATGTCTTGCGAAAATCGTTAGAAGAGGTTCACATATGAGGATACTCATATATGTGCTCAGAGTGATTGCCAGTATCGTCTTATCCTTATAAAAGCATTGGCATACTGATATCGCATCTAGCTATCGTAGTAGCCAAGCTGTGTGCAGTGGTAGGGCGTGGTTAACTATCTTGTTGTGCTGAATGTTGACATATGTTGCATTCTCTTACACAACATGCCTGTTCATTAGTATTGTCATGATGTTCAACCCACACGTATGCTGAGAGTGTATGTAGCCTATATACTCATACAAACACGCTTCACGTATGTGCTGAGATACTTTCGTGGCGTCAGTACTTATTCAAGCAATACGAGCGCTAGTAACTGGTGGATGAAACAAACAAAGTCGCGTGGTGGCTTGCAGGCGTAGTTATAAATAAGTTATCCTTCGTCCTCACAACACGTGCGTCAGTACTAATGCAAGCAATACGTGCACTAGTACTTGATGGATGAAACAAGTAAAGTCGTGTGGTGGCTTGCAGGCCTAGTTATAAATAAGTTATCCTTCGTCCTCACAACACGTGCGTCTGTACTATTGCTAACAATACGTGCACTAGTACTTGGTGGATGGAACAAGTAAAGTCGTGTGGTGGCTTGCAGGCCTAATTATAAATAAGTTATCCTTCGTCCTCACAACACGTGCGTCAGTACTAATGCAAGCAATACGTGCACTAGTACTTGGTGGATGAAACAAGTAAAGTCGTGTGGTGGCTTGCAGGTCCTAGACTAAAAATTGTTATCCAACGTCCTCACAACACGTCACCCCGAAGTTGTG